GAGGTTTTACAATTTCATTTTTTACATTTCTGTTTATTCTTGGAAAAATTTATCCCAGGAATCTTTATTTTAAGGCCTTTTTTCCATTTTCACTAATTGGACATCTAAAGTTATTGCCAGATCACTTATCACAAGTAGAGCTAACTGCCTTACTTAGTCGACAGCTGGAATATTCCCTTTTGGACCATTGATATTAAAATAAGATTTGAACTTTGTTCAATTCAAAATCAAAACCCAAACCGCAATCAAATCAATTGATACAGAATCGATAAAATCAAATAAATTCCAATTATAAATCAAAACAAAATCAAAACAAATACAAACTTTAATCGAATCAAAGCCAAATAAAATCAAATTCAATAACATAGAACTAATAATATGAATTTCACCAAGTTCACATCAAATCCAAATTCATGAAATATATATTACTATTAAAAATTACACACAACAGCTCCATGGATGGATTAAAGAACTTATTAAATTGTACCTTGTCTGGGTGCCATTGTTTTGATAATTCTCTGTACTTTGATCTGATCTCCTCCTGAGTAGCCCCTGGTTGTAATCCAAGAACCTGTTAATAATAATCAATCAATCAATCAACTAGTGACTAAATAAAGGAATCAATCAACAAATGAACAAATCAGCACAAACCAACGAATCAACCAATCAACAAATTCACGAATCCACGAATCCACGAATCAACAAATCAACGAATCAACGAAAAATATAAATATATCTGTTTTAAGTCTATCTGTTTATTTGTTTTAAAGCTAATCATAACTCAGGAACCCCTTGACCGATTTGCCTCAAAGTTTGATAATATCCGAACCTTGAGCGCATTTTTCTCTCCAAATGGATCCAAGCTGTCGATAAAGCGGGTGTAGGTTGACCAGAATCCTTGCTCCTTCATATGCTTCCAGTGCTCTCCTAGACTTCGACCAAACTCCTGAAAATATGATAATCAAAAGAGGATTATAAATAGTTTTAAGAGGCTTTACGCATGTTTATACTTAACTTTTAGAGGAAAGTAAGATATCAACAATAACAAGTATCGGTAAGAAAACAGTTCTAAAAGTGATTCCTCGTTTGAATATTTAAAATATATTAGAACTCCTAAAACCCATAGTCAGAATTAGAGATATGTATTTTCTAAACCATTCCCACATTCCCGTATCAACATTGATTTTTGGTGAAATTGAATTATTTTTAGGGGAAAATCATGCAGGTGCCCAACTTATTTGTGGTTTCCCCTTAGCTTTAGAGTGTTTATTAGAGTTTTAGCACCCCTATAAAAACCTTTTAAAGAGTTTTAACCTGGGCAAGAGGAGACTTGAGGAAGTTTCCAACGGCATCCCTGAGCTTGATCTTGTCCCCGTTGTGGACCACCTCGGCGTTGTAGTAGAGGTAGCTGGACCACAGCCCGGTATAGAGGAGACCACACACAACAAGGGTCAGTACACGCCTCCAGCTAGGTGTACACTCACGTTCAATACCACGCCATCTACGCCGGAAACAATATGCTCCTGAACAAAATCATTTCCAACAAATTTTTAAACTTTAATTTTCATAAGTCCATTTAAAAAAATATAACTGAAATGTATTGTTGATAAAAATGGCATAAATAAAACACAACAATGTCCTAAAACCCTTTTTTTCTGGTTTAAAAACACGAAAATGATTAATACGCATAGTTTGTTAAATCTCACCAATTCTGCATCGTTCATTTTGAAATTCTTTATAAAATTACTATGACAGTCCCTTCCATAAATAAGAGTGAAAAATGCATACCAACAAGAGTAGATAATGAGCCTGGATTGATCCCGAAGAAGAAGAGGGGAAGGGTTAGATAACAACCAATCAAAGGATGTAATATACTTCCTTTCCATCTAGAATACAGACATTAGTTCAATCATTCAATCAATCAATCTGTAAAAATAATAAACCCCATGTTAAGGTGAAGTGAACAGAAACATGTGATAGAACAACC